TCTCTCTCTCTCTCTCTCTCTCTCTCTCTCTCTCTCTCTCTCTCTCTCTCTCTCTCTCTCTCTCTCTCTCTCTCTCTCTCTCTCTCTGCGCCTCCATTGCGCGCAACAGAGAACGAGCTCACGCTCGTGGATCAATAGGCGGCAAATGTGTCGATGGGGTGCAATGACCTTCCGGGCCAGGTCCAGTCCTCATCCTCACGCGACGGCCTCCGCCGTCGTCTTTGTCCGCTGTCCGGATCCTCGGGACGTAATTGAAGTCATCAGGGTCGTCGGCGTCTGTGGTCTCACCACCCTCAGCGGCTGTGGAGTTGTCGTCGTGGATGATCATCGTGCCACCTCGTCTCTTCTCACCTCGTCCTGATTCGTCCACTCTGTCACCTACGTCCACCCCACCCCGTCCATCTGCAGCAGCTGGCATCTGTCCGGTCTCGTCACGGTTGCGAAAAAAAGGATGTGGGCGGCGCCGGTGATACGGAATCGACGCACCTGTTCCCTTCTTCCTCGTCCGTGATAGCCTCGCAGTAGTCGTCCTGGTGTCATGGACATCGGTCGTCCTGGCCCGTATAGGCCTCCCATGCTGCTCCTCGTAAGCTCTCATGGAACCGTGACAAGTGCCATGGACGTTGCCGATCAATCTCGCCCCCGCGGGCATATCTGCCGGTCTGCATGATAATGCATGTCATATATCGCACGCCCTCCGGTCCATGGCCGCACCGTCGTAGAAAGACCTCGTCGGCAATGCGCTCTGCGAGGCCTGCCCGTGGGCGACGGGGTCAGCGGCAGGGGAGCGTGACGGTGGTGGACGCATGATGTCACGCATCCCCATCAGATGCGGTCGAGGCTCATCTATGTGCACGTCTCCAACGTCGTGTGCGGTTGATGACTCTATGCGCTCGATGCCCTCCCCGAAGGACCGTGTAGCGTCTGCGCCGCCCACACCCCTTCCCCCGCCTCCTCCGACGTCGTGTGCGGTCGATGACCCTATGCTCTCGATGCCCTCCCCGATGGACCGTGCAGCGTTTGCGCTCCCTGGCTGTGCCGTATCATGGGCCACGCCCTCGTCCGAGCGGATAACTCCGGGATGCCTCGCCTCTAAAGTCTCCGTCGAGCCTCGATGTCGCTCTCGCTTCTCGCCCTCGTTCGGTGGACCGATGACATGCCGTCGACAACTGATGCGAACCATGACCCCCCTGCGCCACAAAATCTCCAGACGCTGCCTCTAGTGAACCTCCCAGACTACGTTGTGCTGCGACGGTTTCGTGCCACCTCCTCCGCCAACCCCTGCTCCACTGCCCACGGTGCACCGACATGAAAAATGGCTAGAGTGTCGGACTCTAAAGGATGCAGTATCGTATCGCCACCGAACTCATTGAACCCTCTGTTGCGACGCTCGTCATCTCGTCTAGCAGGCTCCGGTAGCGGCACAACCGCCAAAGTGGGAGATATCAATAGCGACACATCGGGCAGTGATGCCAAGGCGGAATCCATGTTCAATAACTCATCGGTGCGCGGAAGACTGTCGGGCGGGCAGCCGAGGCCGACGTGGTGGCCCGTCGGAGGACGTTCGTCCTCCCCGTCCTGTCCACAAGTGGGAGTAGGTGCAACCTCTCCATCTTCTAGAACGCCGTCACTCGTGTGAGGAGGCGGCTCACGTCGTGCCTCGCCGTCCTCCAAACCCGCTCCTGTGGAGTGGAC